GACCACATACCAGACGAAGATAAGCTTATTAAATATTAAGCAAAAATTCAAGTTTGAACCATAAGACTTGGCCTTGTTCCTGCCTACGCTGTATTTAGTAAACACGGTAAGGTACACCGAACCATTTCAAACCTCAACCGGATTATGACAAAGAGGAAGCGAGAAGGCAAATCTGCATAATCTCTTTCTGGATTATTCTCTGCGTGTGTACAAGTACAGATGTGAAGAATGGGCCTTTGATAATCTATACATTGTTTTCCACATTTAAAACGAATCGGCAAATAGAAATCAGCAATCTTGTTTTGCTTCAAAACGTCCGTGTATCAACGATGAAGGACGCCTTGCTGATGACATAGCTATACGTAGTTGGACTAAGAAGGATTTTGAGCAAAAAAAAAAAATTAATATTCTTTACCAAATGTTTCAAGAAGTAGGGAATTGAAAAATAATTACACCCCAGGCAAGAAAGCCACTAAGCTGCAAGGAGTTACCGTGTATTAAAGGATATGAGGAAAGAAACATTATTATGGAGAGAGATCAATAAAAGAACAATAAGTGAGAAGACAGAAGTTAATGAATCACATTACATTTAAATTTTTGAAGATCAAAGTTGACTGGGAAGCCAGAAGCCAGAAGCCAGAAGCCAGAAGCCAGAAAAGAGTTTCACAAGTGAGAAGTGCGAGAGAAGAAACTGTTAGCATATAAATTACTTATTTGCTTATATTGTTCGATCAGTATTGATGGAAAACATACGGTTTCATCCAACCACTTCAATTGTAAAAGGATGAGCACTTGCCGCCAATGTAATACTGCGCTTAAATTCAGAGAGTCTAAGTCCAGGTGCCACAAGGGAGAGTTCATCAGAACAATTACCATGAAAGTATTTATAGAAAAAGAAACACAGGGAAGCTACATTACGGCGGCGGGAAAATGACTGAAGCCGGAATGCCAGGTCATGACTAATAACATTGCAGATTCTTTTTGGCATTTTATCAAGAATCTTTGAATATATAGCAGGAGCATCGGAACATATGTGACAGCACTATTCTATGTATGGATGAATGGTAGACTTATAAATGTCTAAGATAGATTCGAGTGAGAAAAATTGGAAAGCAAGAAACTGGAAGATAGTTCCATAAGCGGAAAGTGCAATAGAAGAAACTGTTAACATAGAACTTACGGTTGCATCTAGCCATTTCAACTGTAAAATAATAAGACCTAGTCACCGATGTAGTAATGAGCATAAATTCATAAAATCTAGATAACATAAAGAGAAAATTTCATCAAAAGAATCACCGTGAAATTATTTATAGAAAAGGCGATGGGAAAGCGACTAAAGCCGAGATGTCACGTCAGAGCCAATAAGATTGCAGAATAAGATATCCAGAATTTCTAAATATATAGCAGGGCCCCCAAACCAGATGTGACAGCAATATTCAAATACGTGTAAAAATTGTTTTTAAAAATTTCAATCAATAAATGCTGCTTGTTGCATATATAGGAACGATTAATCTCGCTATTACCGTTTTCATACTTATTTAGAGACTCTCAGTTTTTCTAATCAACCATTTTTTCAAGGTGACGTGCAACCAAAATAACAATTTCAAGACAAGCGTTGTTACTTATTTTGTAAGTTCTAATTGTTCTGCATTTGGAAAATTCCATTATCAAGGGAAATCAACATTAAAGAGATTTATCATCCTGATAGCGAGAAGGGGAAAAACAAAAACACCGTTTTTCAACTAATTTTTTTCGACTATAACCAACGATACTTTGTACGCATGCGCCAACTATTTAAGACGGGGTTTCACTTTTCTGTTCAGATATGGAGTGCGCGTGATAATCAACTGATTACGTGCGTTTAAATATTTAAAGCGGCCACTGAGGGAGGAACACTTAAAATTAATGGTTGGCATTCTGTTTTATAAATACATATCGAGAAACAAATTCCAATGAACGGTTTTCCCAATCTTTGCGTTTTTGATATTTAAGCTTTAGTGTCCATATATCAACACAGTTGCGCACGAGATACAAACATGAAATCTTAACTACCCGTGTGCCTGAAAGATAAAGCTGCAATTCGAGCCGTTTTGTCATCAGATGATTTTCAAATGAGTTTTATCCTTAGGCAAAACAGGATAGAGATCAACAGGTTGGAAATAAATATAGAAAGTTCAGCAAGGTCTGCTTCAAAGCTCCCAGTATGGGTACCCCAATAATAATCGATTACACTATAGTACTAATAGTACTCGTAAGTACCTTTATTATCGTTTCTCCATTATGTGGCAGCCCAAAACGGTACATACTCAGCTCATTCTGGTATAAGGTTACAAATACATAGTAATGAGTGACATTCTGACTCATTGCCGTATTAATGGTCTGCGTAGCCATTTTGTTTTTCTTTGCTTCGTAGTGAAGCGTTTCAGATTTTGGCCACCTCTATATGTTTCTTCTTTTATGTGCCATTTTCCTTAAGGATGTGGCTGATCATGATTCTCCACAATTTCCTAACCTTTTGTTACTTTGAGAAATATTTGCTTTCTTATTATTCTTCCCACTCCTTGTTCTGCCAGCCATTTTCACAATTTTGTCAGGTAGGCTACTCACCATTTACAAATGCCTCTCTTGCCTTGTATCACCATGGATTGTCTTGGGAGTGATAGTGGCTTCCCGTTTCTTTCTCCACAGTGATTTTATTGAGACACAACCCCCAGTTAGCTGGCCGTTCACACACCAAGAGTTCTTCCGCTCTTTAATAGGTCATATTTTTCGCCCTACTATAGGTTTAACCAGCATTCTCGCACTCTACAGAGAGGGGTGGAAGAGCCTGTTTAGTCGCCGACCATCGGCCAAAATCTTGTATATCAATATGCGCTTAAGTGTATGATGCTCGCAAACGACTATTTTGATGGATTGGCTGGCAGAAATGCTATTTGAGAATGTGTATTTTCTCGCATTTATTTTCAACCTGTTAATTTCCATTGCGTTTTGCACAGATATCGAACTCATTATGTGTGATTGCTTAAACGATGGCGCAAAAAGAAAATACCCTACTTTTTTGGAAGGAGTATTTCTATGCGACTTATTTTGCTTCCTTAAATTTTGGGGGAAAAATTAATCAAAATAAGTTCACTTTCTCACAAATAACCTTGGGAAAAGCATGAATCTGGCTCTCCTTTTGCCAAGCTGTGCATTAAATAGCAGATTTCCCATGGAAAATGTACTGCCGAACTACACTCACATGTTCCAGCAGGTTGGTTTCTTGTTTTGGTTTAGCGACACATTAACCTCTATCGCTTATTTAATGTCGAAATCGGAATATTTTGTACAAAATTTTATTTTTTGAAGATAATAATGGTTTTAGTGATGCATCTTACTAATTAACCCATAGCTGTAGGGGAGAAGAAATGGATTCATACCTTCCCGAAGGTTAGTTTCACGTAAGTGAAAAATAACGAACCCAGTTGTAAGTGGAACTCGGCTCACTGATTAACAATCCCGAATTATTATCCATTACACCAGCTGCACATCCAAGCTTACAGCACCTGGTATCCCCAAGTGGTTACCCATCTAAGTAGTGACCAGGGTCGACGTTGCTTAACTTCCAGCAGTTCAGACCTTTACAGCTAAGATCCATCATGTCATGTACACAGAGTCAACCGTCCTCATTCCCTTTATATTCCAACGGTAAAAGGAAGTTCTATTCAGACGATTTCTTCTTAAGTGTCGCTGTTATGTGGAACAGACTCCCGAGAGGCTGCTTCTTCGATCACTATAATCTTAACTTTTTCAAGTCTATCGTTAACAATTATATATCCTAAATATAGTCATTATCTACAGTTCTTACGTACATAAAACAGCCCTAACTAGCAATAAGCCTCTCCATTGAGTAGCTCTTGTGTCATTAGGTGAATAATAGCGTCAAAAAGATTAGGCTTGGTTGGCAACCAGTCTAGGAGAAGGAACGTTTGAATTGCAAACCGTGGAAAAGGCATCGGGAAACATTCCATTATCATTACAGAGACATCTGCGGAATGTCCTGATAGAATACATCATAAATTGAAATGGCATTAAAAAAAGATATTGGCTTCTATGTCACTGGGTTAATTTCGGGGGAAAAAAATGGAATATAGTAACTGAAAATTCGATGATTTTTATGATTTTTTACAGTTTACCAACCTGCTGTGGTTTATTTAAAGACGAAGCATATTTGGGGTTGTACAAATAATTATCTTTTTTTCGGGGAGTGAATATCATATTAACAGTTTTTTGATAATGATAATGTTTTTTTTTTTTTTTTTTTTTAGATACAGGTCCTATTGTTTAATCTTTAACTGAGAGGAGGAGGTGCATTAATACATTTTCCAATGTTATTTGCACATAAATGAACGTAACGAACCCGATTGGAAACAGAACTTGGCTCTCCTATTTCGAATTCCGAGCCGTTATCTGTTACAACACCGGCACGCACGCCCGTTTTTATGCGTCTCGGTGTTTGTTTGATTCGAGTGTATTTGGATTGCACATGAAATTTTTCTGAACTGTGTCTTTGCAAGTGCTGAAAAAGTAATTTTAATCACAGAAGCCACTTAAAAAAAAAAAAAAATTAAAGAACTAAAGCCGACGATAGAATTTAATCAAAACAGACAATCATTGAAGATAGTTTGAAAAGTGAAGCTATAAGCTACAAATATAACGGTTGGAAGAAAGGTCTCCACAAGTTTTCAAAAACTTCCCTTGTTTATTGTCTTTCAATTTTCATTTACATGAGGTCCTCCAAACGGAATTAAGAGAGCTATAAAGTCATCGACTTAAAATCTATTTTCAATTCGCATATATATATATATATATATATATATATATATATATATATATATATATATATATATATATATTCCCCAGTCTATTATTCTTTTTTCTTCACATGCATATATTTTCATGGATGTATTTATATACAATCATCTATATATATACGCCTATATTTGCGGGTACGTAAACACATGCTTGAGAGTACGTGTCGGAGCGCGAATACGCTACTTACTGTGTGCGTCCGTGTCGGAAGCCTGGCAGATGACGCGTCTCCCAGTCTTTACTAATCGATAAACTGATCGACACAGATTGAAATACGTAAGAAGCAATTTTATAATGGTGCGGTCATGCTGACGTGGCGTTCGTAGGTGGAGATTTGAGTCTGAACAGTTAACAAACAAGGTAGGGAGAGAGGGAAAGAGGCAGAAATATAATGAAATGTTGGGGAAGGAGTTGGAAGAAGAAGAAGAAAACAAATGAAAAAATGAAGTAGAAGAGATTAGTAGGGATGCAAAGAGACGAAAAAGATTCAATCTCTTGAAGCAGAGTCGGATAAGGGAATGTTTATTTCGTTAAAGCTTTCTTCCCGCGTTTTCTTGTTTTCGTTTTTTATTCTAGCAACTTGCTCTTCGTGCGTTACTTTTTCTATTTTTGTTTCTCAAAGAATTATTATTATTATTATTATTATTCCTTAATTCATCTTACTTTCGGATTTGTCTCTCATACGGCCTTGATTTTTCTTCCGTCCAAGAATTATTATTTTTTTGCATTCATTTTTTCGTTTCCTACCCTACCTTATTCTTTCAATTTCTTTCTTTCTTTCTTTCTTTCTTTCTTTCTTTCTTTCTTTCTTTTCCAAGTCTATATTTTTTGTTTGTTTATTTCTTTCTTTCGTAAGTCTAAATTTTTTCTTCATGCGTTCTTTCTTTCCTTTTTCATAGTTTATAGTTTTTTCTTTTTCTTTCTTTCTTTCTTTCTTTCTTTCTTTCTTTCTTTCTTTCTTTTCCAAGTCTATGTTTGTTTCTTTCTTTCTTTCATTCGTAAGTCTATAGTTTTTTCTTCACGCGTTCTTTCTTTCCTTTTTCATAGTTTATAGTTCTTTCTTTCTTTCTTTCTTTCTTTCTTTCTTTCTTTCTTTCTTTCTTTTCCAGGTCTATGTTTGTTTGTTTCTTTCTTTCATTCGTAAGTCTATAGTTTTTTCTTCACGCGTTCTTTCTTTCCTTTTTCATAGTTTATAGTTTTTTCTTTCTTTTTCTTTTTTCTTTCTTTCTTCTTTCTTTCTTTCTTTCTTTCTTTTCCAAGTTTATATTTTTTTGTTTGTTTATTTCTTTCGTAAGTCTAAATTTTTTCTTCATGCGTTCTTTCTTTCCTTTTTCATTGTTTATAGTTTTTTCTTTCTTTTTATTCTTTCTTTCTTTCTTTCTTTCTTTCTTTCTTTCTTTCTTTTCCAAGTCTATGTTTGTTTCTTTCTTTCTTTCATTCGTAAGTCTATAGTTTTTTCTTCACGCGTTCTTTCTTTCCTTTTTCATAGTTTTTCTTTCTTTTTCTTTCTTTCTTTCTTTCTTTCTTTCTTTCTTTCTTTCTTTCTTTCTTTTCCAAGTCTATAGTTTATTTCTTTCTGTCTGTCTTTCTTTCGCAAGTCTATAGCTTTTTACGCTTTCTTTCTTTCTTTCTTTTAAATACCACCTTCATTTCTTCCTCTCATTCTTTCTCATTTACTTCATTTTATTTTCAACGAGAAATGCTGTAATATCGGCTAATGGCAGACGAAGGATAACTACACTCTACAGTTGTTTCCATAGAGACAGCAGACAATTGCAAAGTGGGTGGTTGGGGACGAATAAGAAGTTACGATTTAAACTAAAATAATAAAGAAATTCTTAAGTCAGCGCTGGTTGGTTGTCTGAATGTGAATGAAGAAGAAGGTTGGTGAAGGAACGCTGTAAAACATTTTTGAGTTTAACTGTAAAGAAAAATGCACAAATATTTATTCCAATATGGTATCGTAGAGTTTATATTTATAACCCCCTCCAAAAAAAAAAAGATTAACTTAATACAAAGAAATAAACTATAAAGCTATTGCCTCGAGTCGAGATACCAGTTCATGTAACGATTAGGCTGTTCAGAAAGTAATGTCCAATTTTAGCATGCACCATTTAATTATGTTCTAATATATGATCATAATAGTTGCACAAAAGCATATTATTCATTCCTATTGATTAGTGTATTCTCTTTCATAATTTTATATCAATCTCTTTCAGAATTTTATTTAAAATATTATATACCGCTCATTTTGAATATGAAAAAAAAGAATAGACGCGTTTATTATTTTGTATGAGTTCAAATTTGGTCATAATGCTTCTCAAACTGCTACCAGCATTAACAGAGCATGTTGTGAAGGATTCACTTTTGATTAGACAATTAGGAACTGATCTTTGAAGTTCCGCAGTGGGGATACGAGTCTTGACGATCAAGGTGGTAGAGGATGTCGATCTGCAATTGACAATCAACATTGGAAAACACTAGACGAACAAAATCATGTGAAACTCTCAGAAAAATGCCTCGGATAGTGGGTGTCAGAATTTCAACCACATCGGACCATCTCAAGGGAATTGGAAAGGTGAAGAAAGTCGACAAATGGTCCCCCACATGAACTCAAAGAAAATCAAAGTTCAACTTTTAGAAATGTATTCGAATTATCCATTTCTTGATCGAAGAATGACTTGTGATGTGAAATTTATCCAGGAAACGATCGGCTGTCATGACGAAGCAACCACTTTCTAAAACCAAAATTGTACCAGCAGAAGATTTTAGTGACTTGTTTGGTTTCCGCCATTGGCGTCATCCATTAGAGATTTGGTGACTCTAACCAGAGCATCACTGCCAAAATTTAATGCCAGCAAACGGAGGAAATGTACATTTTGTTAAGCAAACCGGCTGGTTAACCGTCGAAGTCCGTTTCTGCTTCATAATCATCGGCAACATTTTGACAGGATCACACTGTAGAAGTTCACCGATATGGGATACAAGACTTTGCTACATCCACCATATTCTCCTGAACTCTCGCCCATCGACTACCACTTTTTCTCCAGCATCTTGACAATTTTTAAGCCAAAAGACGTTCGACTCATGAACTGTATTTAAAGATTTCTTGGCATCTAAACCATTAGCGTTTTATCGCAAATACATAAGTATCTTTGTGGCTCGATGACAGGTATGCATAGATGTTAAGGATTCCTATTTTGTTTGGTTTAATCACTGTTTAAATACTTTGTATGATAGAATAATGGATTGCGGCTGGGAATAAGGAATGGGAAGCCGAGTTCGAATTACAATTGAGCTCATTACATTCACTTACTTTTGTGATGTCAACGAACACTCGTTGTCACTTTTGTGATGTCAATGAATACTCGTTGTCACTTTCGTAATACTCGTTGTAGTAGAGACTTTGTAATCGCAGATACAACTATGGTAACGCCGTTGAACAATACTGGTGTCAAACGCCGTCGAATATCACTCGTATTAAGAGTACTTGCTCGATAATACTCTAATAATAACCACCGAATAGTGATCCGAATAGTAATCCGTATAGTGAGATATTCACTAAACGACCCACGCAACCGGATGCGGCACAAGGCTGAGTTTATTGTGGGGTAACCGAGCCCGTAGGCTCCGCCAAACATTCCTCGTAGACCCTGTAAAAAACGGGGTCGGATAGCTGTCTCCCTAGACTCTGCCCTTCGACATAGCCTCGTCTGGGGATCCTCTCTGCTCGGTGCCAGAGAGTTTGACTAGCATACTTCCGAAGTAATCTCGATAGTGAGATATTCACTAACCGCTCTATGCAGTCGGATGTGACACAAGGCCAAGTTTATTGTCGGGTTCAAGTCCGTAGGTTCGGCCAAAAATTCCCCGTAGACTCCGTAAAAAACAGTAGCTGTCTCCTGAGATGAGACTCTGCCCTTTGATAGGATATTCTCAGAGTCCTTCTGTAGGGCCACATTCCTATTTATATAAGTCTTTTCTTCGTCTTTGATAAGATTATTTAGCATTCATTGCCATAGAGGAGGACTGATATTGCCTAATAGTTCAGTATTCTCTTCTTTGTTTCTAGCAAAATTTTAGCTTTTTCTTAATACTTTGTTTTAAATAAAAAAAAAAAATCAATAGATATTTTCGTGATTGTTAATTTAACATGCATAAAAGAGAATTTAGCGTCAGCACAGAGACATAATTTATATGCATGTATATATAAATAACGTTTGTATTAATGGGAGGTATATATATATATATATATATATATATATATATATATATATATATATATAAAAAATAACGTTGATATATAATCCAAGGGGATCTAGTAATATAAAATATTAAAATTGATCCACAAAAGACCTCAATATATTTATTATTACAGGGCCAATAATTAATAAACAATAAAATCCCAAATCATCTCAATGTGGAATAGCCTATTTCGGTAGACGAATATATATATATATATATATATATATATATATATGCGCGCGTGTGTGTGTGTGTGTACTTTTCATTTATACAAACGTTATTTATATGCAAATATATATATGTTTCTCACTAATAGAAATTTTATTTTATTTTATACACACGTAAACACACACACGCACACATACATATATACTTCTCATTAATACAAACGTTATTTATGTACAAATATATATATATATATATATTTCTCACTAATAAAAATATATACTTAAATTATATATATATATATTCTTAAATTATATAATTTTAGTATATATATAATTTAAGTATATACATATATCTTACTTATTATAAAACGCAGATTGTTTGTGTCTGTCTATACGTTTATATATTGGATCAGATTTCCTACATTTTTCAACCGATTTCAACAAAACTTCACAGGACTACGTAAAATTACCTTGTGGTGGTTATAACAGCGCCAAATATGGGAAAAACTTAATTGTTTTTGCACGAAATCAATTTGAAAGCACGGTTAAGTGTATCGCACCCGGCCGGAAGTTACTGCTGGCTACTCAAATGTCCGAATGCCGTTAACTTCCGGTGATTCAGCGTTTTTTTTTTTCAGAGAACGATACACAAAAAGTAAACAGATGAGATCTAAACATACACAAGTCCTCCTAACTAAAAATAATAACCGGAAACTATTTTAAATACACATGGTGTCCAAATATTTTTACTGTATTCAATAAGTAAAAATCATAAATTGTAAAAGATTACAGAAAGGCTACTAAATGAATAAGATTTGTTAGATCATCTTACTTATTATAAAACGCAGACTGTGTGTGTGTCTGTGTCTGTACGTTTATATATTGGATCGGATTTCCTACATTTTTCAACCGATTTCAACAAAACTTCACAGGACTACGTAAATTACCTTGCAGTGGTTCTAACAGCGCCAAAAATTGGAAAAACACAATTGAATTGAAACACAATTTGAAAACACGATTAAAAGGCATCACGAGAATGAAAGGGGGACAACTCATATCGTGTTATCCTTATTATAAAACCCAGGTTGTTTGTGTGTGTGTGTTCGTTTATACATGGAATCGGATTTCCTACATTTTTCAACCGATTTCAACAAAACTTCACTTTTTTTTTGGCAGGTAGTGTTTCTTATTGTCATGCACACTTTTTTCTTTATTTTTAAATACAGAATGCTTTAAAAATTCCATTTACAAGACAATTGTTGATAATAAAATTCTATTCAATCGGTAGATCCATAACGATTGAAAACAATATTTTTGTCTGAGTTTAGGTTTGACCAATTCGTAAAAAAAAAAAAACTAATTAAGACATGCGTGTCCGTCAACCTTAAACAATAATCTTTGTCGATTTTATTTTTAAGTCTTTATGATGGTCGATACTTGATGTATCTCTTACTGTTACATCTCCGGGCAACGCCGGGCTCTACTGCTAGTATATATATATAATTTAAGTATATATATAATTTATGTGTATATATATATAATTTAAGTATATATATATATATATATAATGGTGAATTCAGCATTGGTTGAATTGAGACAGAATACCTAATGTATATATAACCAGCTTTACAGTGGACAGAGGACTGTTGGTAGGAACATAGTCAAGGTATAAAGTCAAGCTGAAGAGTAACATCTCGGTTGTCAATGTGACTCATACTAACTTCGAGCGACTTACCCTGAGTAGAAATAACAGGAGATATTTGTGCCAGAGATGTATTAGAAATTGTGAAATCAGTTGTATTGGCCGACTAAATGACGAAAAACAAGGGCAAATAAACGGCGAATATTCCTGTTGATATGTCACGAGATACTCCCTGTTGCACAATATTGTATGCTGATCACGACCGAGTGTGAAGTGTCACATACGACATAAACATAAAAAACTAAATTAGGTTTCCGGATCATCATACATCGAAATCCATCGTACATATATAATGGAAAATGGCTATATATATATATATATATATATATATATATATATATATATATATACATACAATATAACCCGGATATAAGAGACCCGGATATAAGAGAAACCCGGATATAAGAGACTTCTTCTCCGGTCTCGACAACTCTCTTATATCCGGGTTACA